TCTCGGTTGCCCCCGTTGTTTGGTGGCCTTCCACGGCTTACTTCTGCGCAAGCCGGCCATCTCATCCAGCAGCGGCAGATCAATCTTCTGCTCCAACTCCCGTTGTGCTCCACGGCCGTATCTCTTGGGCACGATGAGGCAAACGGCCGTGGGAGCCCAAGAAGGAGAGCGTAACGGCGAGGGTCCCCGGGGGATCCTACTGTGAAAGGCACGGTCGAAAACGATCAAAAGGGCGTACGAACCGATTTAAGAACACAGAAGTGCCTCTAGTGCATCCGTCGACACGATGCATACCCCACGTGGCTAAGGCAGTTGACTTCCGTGCCTTTACAGAGAGCGCTCGCTGTGGCTGGGGGCTGCCACAGACTCCGCGATTGCCACCGCAAAATGCCAAGGCCCATGGCGGCCCCTGGCTCGGTTGATGCGATGCACCTTCACCGGCAGCTCCACGCCTGTGCGACTGGGCTCGAACACTCCATGGTGCTTGTCGTCGCGTCCGATAAATCCCAGCGGCGCTGTGCGGTTTGCGGGATCGAAGATGCCAATCGCGTAAGTGTCAAAGCCACCCCCCAAGTTCTTCGAAAGCACGAGAGCTTGGCCAACCCAAAGCTTGCGGATCGCATCCAGTCGAGCTGCAAAGGTGACGCCACCGTTCGGCACAGCATTCGGCCATCTGGAAGCTTCCCCATGATACGGCCAGCACAATTGTGCCTTTCGTGTTTGCGCTTTCTCCCTCAGTCGGATATGTCGGCGACATTCGATCAGCTCACGAGTGTTGATAATTTGCAGGGCTCGTCGGAAAACCCCTAGTGTGTGGACCAGAATTGCGGTTTATCGGATGACTATGGGCCGTGCGCTTTTTGGCATATGTCGCACTTAGAGAGAGCGTGGAAGCCTCGAGGAGCACCGGATTTGGGGCTCTTTGAGATGAATCGCCTACCAGACGGGAGCCTACTGATTCGTGCCGTGGGTGTGAGCTTCGAAGGTAGGCAGGCCGCCGTGTGCGCACTTCGGCCGGGACAAGAGCTGCTCCTTGTAAGAGATGCAACGAACGAGCACAATCCGCATGCAATCGCCATCTTTGAGGCGCAAGATACGAGCTCGCACCTTGGGTTCGTGGGGCGTGACATCAACCGTCACGAGGCGTTTTGCGCGGCTCGTGCGGGCCAAGCCCTGCTTGCGCGCGTGCATAGTGTCGGGCCTTGTGGCAGCAGCGGCCTTTGGGGGTACATCTTGAGGATCGGAGCTCCTCGCGATAGCTCCGTCGTTCTCGCATGATGGGGCGAGCAGTTTGGCCGCGCATTCTCTAAGTGCCGTTGAGAGACAATGGAAAGCCGTCAATATGCACGGTTCATGATAGGGGTTTTTTCACATAGCGCGCGCCGCAGACACATCACAGCATCACGGATCACACTTTGAAATTACTTCGATTGTATTTCTTCGTCGCCGGTGGCTGCTGATTTTTGTAGTGTGATGCTGTGATGCTGTGATGCTCACCTGCTTTTGCCTTGATTCATGGGTATCCTATCACTTTTGGTACATCACACTTTACTTTTAAAGAAGTGTGATGATGTGATGAAGAATTCCAAGTCTCCACTTTGCTCTCAACGGAGCACTTTCAGAGAGAAGAAGCTGAATCTACTTCGATTTTGACACCAATATGCTCCAAACCGCAACCCAAACATGTTCGAAGCTCTTTAATCTCTTTATCATCCTTTTGTGACGGATCGTAGCTTGTCATCCATGGGCGATCAACGTCATTGGCATGCCTCAGAGGCCTTTCCCAGCTCGTCTCTTTCCAAAGGTAGGCCTTCCCCTCCTGAAACATCTTCTCACCCCGTAGAAGCTTACACATCTCACCTTCTGGTTTGAACCACCATCCTCGGACCGTTTTTGCTTCCTGGTTGAATTGGTCGTTGTTTGGTCTGCTCAAGTTCCGAGTGCATGATCGCAGCTTAAAGGCTTTATGCAACGCTCCACAAAGTGCCGTTCGTGTAAGCCTAGCTTCCGCCGCTTGGATGTTATTGTCTCGTAGGAAGGTCTCGTATGTTGCCAAGATATCTTCACTTGCGGCCCATGTTTCTTTCGTTGGATGGAAGCAGCCGTTCTCAAGGAGAGCTTGGACCATGGATGCATACGTGGGAATCGAATGTGCTCTTAAGGCTTCTCCCCACGCTGTTTGGGGCACCAACTTTGCATTCCAAGTTGAGATGTCCAGAGATAGAAGGTATTGGAAGAAGCGCTTTGCCGTTTCTGGTTGCTCGAGCTCATTTCCCAAACGAGTAAAGTACTCCTTGTCTCCCAGCTTCTCATTAGATGCTTCTACAGCCGCATACCGTCTGTCATCAACACCGCGCTTGACTGGCCACTCCTCGTTTGTTGTGAAGACGGAGTTGCAAAAGTCTCTCACTTGGATCGGGTCAATTCCTTTCTTCTCGAGCATGCTCCGTTCTTGAGTGATGTGGCTCTTGAATCGATTGTTGCTCTTGTAAGCTCCACCCCAGCTGGAGACCTCGTCGAAAACAGTGAGTAGTCGGTTGGCGGAAATGGAGTTGAATCTGCCAATCACCTTGTCGAGATCGTTACAGTACAAGTATAGATCCTCGCCGAGAATTCGAAGCCCTACAAAATCCCATATGATGTTCTTTCCAGCACCCTCTTTGGATTTAAACACGAGTGCCACCCCGATCTTCTTCCCAGGCCGCTGGACTTGATGAGCAAGCCAGTTAAGTATGTATTCGTAGCATGCACGATCCCCGTTGGCCAGAATGTGGCGGAGGTGCCAGAAAAGTCGAGGCAAGCGCTCCTCGCAATCTCGCAACCCGTCTGCATCCAGCACAGCCACCTCGTCTTGGTCGAAGCAAAGTCCGTCATAGAGATTGTAGTCCCCCGTTGCGTGACCGTACAGGTTGGGGTCGAAAATGATGGAGTCGTATATCTTTCTCTCCGGCGATTGTCGCCAGAACTGCCCCGCAGTCGTTGCCGGCAGGTGTTGGAGACGAAGGCATTCGAAACGCAGCGCAAAGTCGGCACCGGACCTCAGTATGGTTCCATTGGACTTTAATTCTCCTCCTATACTCCGACGAAAGGTGGTTTCAATGTAGATGGGTTTGGAAACCCCAACTACTACGCCACAATAGGTGTTAAGAACGGCCATAGTGATGTCTGCTAGCACTCTCTTTTTGGCCCTCTGCTCTTCTTTGGAAGCAGCGTCCATCTTATCACATATATATTGTTCGCATACGTGAAGGATCCTACCGTTTCCAAGCTTCTCCGGAAGGCATTGGGGCCAAAAGTGGACCCCGAGGAGACGCTTTGGCTTTCGTATGCACTCTTTACTCAGACACCGATAGAGTAAGAGAGCGCCGTTGGACAAGACGCTCCAATTGTTTGAGATGTGCTTCTCACCGTTGAGGCATGTGCGTGTGCCGACCGTTCTATATTTAAGTATGTGCCAATCATTGAGAATCTTGCTGTCCATACCGCAGAAGCGGCTCTTATCATTAGGGAGCTTCTCTTTTAGAAGTTTGGCGATCTTATCCAAAGCGCTTTGCAAGCCCGGAAAGCTTAGAGGATCTTTTAAAACGACGACACTATTTGTGGGCTGGGACGCGAGAGCCGCTGAGGATTCGCCACTACTCATAGTTGAATTCGATCTGTCAAAACGTTCATTTGGATCACCCGTAAGCAATTTAGCGAGCCAATCGGGCATGGCTTGGGGGAGGTTGCATTGCGTTTTGTCCCATTTGTAACAGTAAACAGTTCCCGAGTCGTCCACATACGAGCTTGGTTCAACGAAGAGGAGCCCGTTTCCTCCTCTCCCATCGATAGCCCATTGTTGACCCTTGTACTTCAGACCTGCAAAGTTTGTGTGTCGATGGTGGAAGTTGGTGCTTGAGCTGCTCTTGAACAAATAATGAAGACCTCCTCTACCCGACTTTGCTTTCAGAGTCACAGGATCGCCATGTTCGAGTGTGAGTTGCTTCCACAGCTCCAATCCTGATCGAAATTTAACCCCTTCTGGGCTTACCTTGCAATCTTTATCAATATCAAGGGCGTAGACGTTAGAAATTCCGGTCAACACGGCTATTGAGTTCACGTCGTTTGGTGCCTTCTCGATCATTTTATCAATACATTTGTGCCATATGGCAGCCGACGTGATGTGCACGTATGTTTGGAGATTACTAGCAATTTTCTTCCCTCCTTTGAGCTCGATTGTGAGTGGCAAGGTATAGAGCCCCTCTTGAGACAAGCGCCGTATGGCTGCTTCCAAGCGCCGTTTGGTCTCGCTCTTTGTTTTCATCGTTGGTCCCTGAACGTCCAACCCATCCTATCGAGGTACCACTGGCTCTTCTTCGATCGTGCTATGTAGCGAACAGTAGTTATCACCCTGTGAGCTCGTCATTTGAAATCCGCTAGAGGCCATTGCCGATTTCTTCTTACAAGGGAAGATTATTTTCACAGCAATCGAACGCGCGTCAGGGCGACTTCAAATATTTTCTGTTTTTCACATTAAGCAAGAGGCTCCTCACACAATGGAAGAACAACCCTCTTTATCATCCACAAGCAGATACGAGGACGAAGTTTTGGTTTGTCCATGTGCTCATTGCCAGACTTTACGAAGATATCGAGAACGAGATCCTCAAGCACATCTGCGTCATGTGCGCGCCTATTACCATCGCCATAAGGACAACATCCTTCTTGCACAAGCTTATGCTCGATACCAATCCGGCGCAAGAAGTCACCAAAACACCATCAAAAGGCTCATAAGAGCCGGCTTTCCTGTACTTCCAAGTCAGTCCGAGTATGCTGAAGGAATGATGACGGATGCCACGTCCTCTTCCTTTGCCATCGAAGCTGCATGAGTCGAGAGCCGTTTGAGATATTCTAGATGTCGACGTGCTTATCCGGAGCTCCTCGGTGCTGATCTGGAAATAAGTGCTGTAGATGGCTTATAGTCAGCGATTTCCCATTTGAGAACGAGATGTCACCGACGAATCGTGACAGGTTGTTCTCGCTCATTGCTAGACCCATGTTCCTGACGCAGACCAAGAAGTATGCTCGCGGCACAAGATTCAAGGATCTCGTAACATAGTGGCTGAATCTGGCCGTCAGGGGGTGGGTTCGCTCGCACTCCTCCCCTGAACTCCCCTTTTCTCTCAAGATCAAGCTGAATGTGCCGTCTCCCCCTTCTCTCAGCGTATTGCCCTTGATTGTAAATGCGGCACCCGCAAATGAGCTGTAGAACGACCCATTTTTCCTCTGGATTGGAAGGTCGGCCCACCCTCTTCCCCTTTCGGGCTCGAGAATGTATGCAACAAGAATGAGGTGTTGAAAAACAGTCCTAACTTCGTCGCGAGTAAGCGCGTCTCCACAATCGACTCTTGGCACCAAGTACTGTCGTATGAAACGACCAAGTCTCTTGACTTTATTCACAACTTCATCTCGACTCACGAATTCATCTGGAGGGGTCGCACTTACTCTATTCTTGGCGAGATGCTTGGCCTCAAGAAAGGCTTTGTAGTATATCTCGTGAGTCTCCTTCCAATTATGCAAACGACAGATGACGAGCAGGGGGGTAAGTTTGCTTGCTAGAGAGCCCTTATTTGGATACTTTGCTTGAAGAACCGGAATGATGGCGTCGACTCTAGATCGGATCCATTCTGTATCGACAGGCAGAGTCGGATCTCCCGTTAGGGCATCATGTATTATCCTAACGCCGAGCACATATTGAGAAACGGTTGCTTGGGAACGAGAACCGTTGGCTTTGAGCAGCTCCTCGAGCCTCTTTTCACCACACGCGATTGGTCTTGAAGCATTCGAAATCGTGTGCAAAGTTGGGGCTCCAGACAAGGCCATAGAGGTTATCTAAGCTGTGAAATTATTTCCATGAGTTAACCTCACGTATCCACGCAATCGCGGAATCGTGATGAGAGCTGGTCACAAATTGCTGAGTTCTTGGTTTTTGGTTACGTCGCATTTCGCTTTTGAACGATTCCATGTACCATTCAGCAGTAAATTGCCCAACTTCTTTTCGATCGAAATTCAACTGGGCCATACTGGATTCGTGATGAACGGTGGACATGTTTTTAGAACGGGACATCCTTCAATTACATGCATGTCTCTGGTTATTGGCGCAATATTAAGCGTGCTCGAGGTTACCTAGTCGAGAGGGCTCGACATAAACTACTACGTATGCTACCATGTGAATATGGTTATAACTTTCGTTCATGAGGCCTCTCCATTGGACGTAGCCGGCAAGGTTTCATCTCGTGGCACATCTGCCACTCGAAGACCCTTGCGAGTCTTCTGTGGATTTGCAAGCAATTCCAACAGTAGAACGCTCTCGGATGATTCTACATCACATGATCTGTCATTATCATTCGTTCGATTCTCATGATGCTTTCGTCTCGTCCGACGCATTCGATCGTGAAGCAACGTGGTATTTGAATGATGCATCTTCTTGGCTCTTTGCATCAAGCGCAGCACGCTACCCCATTCGACAAATATGTGATGAGGTCTCGTTGAGTCCATCTTGCAGACGCGAAAGCCCTCTGCAATCAGAGAGCGTGTCACAAAGTTCGTGATATTTTGCAGATTGAATGGCGCCGTGAGAGCGCGTAGGCCTGCCACTGCGCCGATGTCAATTATTACGTGAGTGAGTTGCTGGTGCTGGTAACTGCGAACGATTATGGAACGGACACTTGCAAGCACGCTAAGATTCTTATCTCGGACCGTCTTTTCAGTCGGAGATTGGAATCCAGCTATTGCGTCCATGTGCTAGGTATTAATAGACATCATCATAAATTAGCAAACCATCTCAACCGAGTATTAAAGCTCTGAAATAGGAATGACCTAGACCTCTGGTGGTCTTTTACAGGAAGATCATGGTATCATGAATCAATGCCAGACTCAACTTCGCCCCTTCTTAATCAAGTCTCTCAGCGGATTCTTATTCTCGCTCAAATAGACGGCGTACTTGGATCGTTCGAACAGCGTGTCTAGGATCGTCGTTACTCTGCTGAGTAGCCGCTTGATGCTAGTAATCTGCTAGAGACTAGCCGCGCATCTCTTCAGCCCAGAGTTGATGCCCTCCGAGGCCGTCGTGATCGTTTGGCGATGTTGCGGAAAGCTGTCGATGAAGAGAGTGGGCGAGCACGTGTGCGTCGCGTAGCGCTTGGCTCCCGAGGACGCGCAGCTGATAGGCCCCGAGTGGAAGCGGTCAACGACAAATAGGATGAACTTAGCCAGATGCGGCACCCTGTTTAGCAGCCATTCCTGGGCGTTGCAGGCGGCGTCCTCCACGATCGTGAGTCCCCGCAGCGTCTTGAAGGGAAACCGCGTGAGCAGCACAGTTCCCAAGTCCGACACCGACTCACCCCCCTTCAACCAATGGTAACCGAGAGGCGCCCGATTTTGGCAGCACGCAATGAATATGCCGGCCCGCCCCTTGGACGACTGAGGGTTCGGAGCACTGCAGTGTTGGGTAAGACGCTCCTCCGAACCCTTCTTTCCCCGTCCGGATTCGTCCTCCCAGTCCACGAATTGCGGCCGCCCGTAGAGCAACGGGTGGAAGCCGTACGTCGAGACAGCCTCCACCCGCTCTCTGTAGATTGTTGAGGGCGCCGAAAGGAAGCCGCCCTCTCCGTAGCACTGCGGCTCGCGAACCTCCAGCTCAAAAAGAAGTGAGTTGGCAACCCTCTTCAGCGCCACACCCCGTTGCTCCGCGTACTCCATCGCCGCCGCCTCAAGTTGGCCCACGAGCCTCAACCGCTCGCTTTCAATGGTCCACATATGCTCGGTGGCATCATGGAGGGCCGCAAGAGGCGAACGATGGGACGAAGTTGGCCGGTTTGCGCTGGACTCGAAGCAGAGCAGGTTCGTGGCGTAGATGTCACGCACGAGGGGCCACAGCGTCGGGGGGAATGCGTACAGCCCTCCAGCAATCGGGTGCAGGCGCAGGATCGCCGCCAGCATGGGGGCGTCCTCGGACAGGAAGGCCATCCCTCGCTGGTCGAGCGGGCCCTCCAGCAAGAGGTGGCGGAGCAGCTTCAGGGTGACGATGCGCCCAAACACCCACGAATACCGGGGTATGAGGAGCGCGTGGAGCAGGGCCGCGTATGGCTGCCAGTGATCGGGGCACCAACCCGACGCCCCCACCGGCCCGTCCTTCAGAAAGCCTTGCATCCAAGGCCGTCGTGGGACTCCCTTGCACATCGCACACGTCTCCGTATCCGCACACCCCCCCGACTCCGTCACGAGGTCGATCAGGGCCCTCACGTTCGCCGGCAGCCCCTCCCGCATCGCCACGAACTCCCCCGGCTTCAGAGGCGCGTTGCTCCCTTGCGCTGGGGCCTTCCGAAAGTTGCACCATCTTAGCGTTAAAGCACGTACTGCCGGCCGCAGCTCCGAGAGTCCATTGCGATACTTCCAGGGGCAATCGATCCCCTCTAGCGGCACACACGAGGGCCGCACCCCCCCGACACTTAGAGGAGTGAAGCCACCGGCCACTCGAGGCGCTTCTGGGTCCGGCTCGCAGATGGAATGAAGCGACGCCTCCGTCCCCGCGTCCCGCATCGCGCTGGAGTTTGCGAAGAAGGTGCCGTCGAAGGTGATAACCTTCTCTCGTCCGAAGGAGTACGTGGTCAGCTCGGAGAACGCCCCCTCTGTCCGCTCGGGCCTCAAGGGGTTGCTTGCCGCTTGGGCCTCCGCCTCAGCCGCTTGGACCTCCCTCGGTAGAGGTGGGAGCAATCGGGGCGCGAGCACACGTGCTGGATCCGCGAGCGTGCGGCGAGGTCGTTGAATGTGACGATTCGAGTCTATGAATCT